TAGGAGGCTGTTGTTCAAACAGAAGAAGAGGATACTGCATGATTCAAAATCTGGAAGGGCATGTGTCAAGCTTGTATCCTTTCACCATACTTATTCAACTTATATGCTAAGCAAATAATCAAAGAAGCTGGATTATATGAAGAAGAATGTGGCATCAGGATTGGAGGAAAATTCATTAACAACATGTGATACACAGATGACACAACTTTGCTTGCTGAAGGTAAGGATGACTTGAAGCACTTACTGATGAAATTAAAGACTACAGTCTACAGTATGGATTACACCTCAATATAAAGAAAACAAAAATCCTTACAACTGATCCAATAGACAGTTTCATGGTGGATGGAGAAAAGACTAAAGTTGTCAAGGATTTCATATTACTTGGTTCTATAATCAACACAAATGGAAGCAGCAGTCAAGACATCAGACGACATATCGCATTGAGCAAATATGCTGCAAAAGACCTCCTGCAAGTCATGAAAAGCAAAGATGTCTTCTTGAAGACTAAGGTGCACCTACCCCAAGCCATGGTATTTTTAATTGCCTCTTATATATGGTGGCATAGTGCCTAAGGTATCTGACTGCTAACCAGAAGGCTGGCGATTCAAACCTACCAGCCACTCCTCAGAAGGAAGGTTAGGCAATCCACTTCCGTAGTGATACCACCTCGGAAACCCAAAGAGGGGGTCACCATGAGTCGGATTAGACTCAACAACAATGCATTTGATTTTTGTTTTGGTTTCTTATGCATGTGAGAGCTGGACAATGAATAAGGAAGACCTAAGCAGAGTTGATACTTTTGAATTATGGTGTTGGAGAAAAATGCTAAGAGTACTACAGTCTGCTTAAAGGACCAACAAATATGTGCTGGAAGAAGTACAGCCGGAATGCTCCTTGGAAGTAAGAATGGCCGGACTGTCTTACTTTGGTCATGTTGTCAGAAGGAACCATTCCCTGGAGAAGGATGTAATGTGTGGTAAAGTGTTGCTGTTGTTGTTGTTATGTAGGGCCAACAAAAAAGGGAAAGGCATTCAATGAGATGGATATACAAAGTGGCTGCAATGATTGGCTCAGGTATAACAAGGATCGCGAGGTTGGCACAAGTCTGGACAATGTTTCACTCTGCTGTGCATAAGGCTGCTATGCATCAGCGACAACTCAACAGCACCTAACAACAACAACAATATATGACATAAATAGACTATAAAGCATAACCCAAAACACACAAACAGCAGAAAATAAAGCATTCATCATAGATGAATGGCACCTTCTAAAAATTACATTTTTATGCGCTTCCAAAGACTTCTCCGAAGAATCAAAAGAGAACCTGCACAGTGGGAAAAAATATTTGACAATAACATATCTGACAAGGGATTTATCTCTCAAACTTATAGAACACTCTAACACCTCAACAACAAAAAGACAAATAATCCAATTAAAAAATGAGCAGAAGACATGGCTACTTCACCAAAGAGGATATTCAGGTGACCAACAAACATATGAAGAAATGCTCATGATCATTAGCCATTAGAGACACAGAAATCAAAACAACAATGAGATAACATCTGTTCCCAGCACTAGTAGCAAAGTTCAACAAGACAGAAAATAACAAATGCTGGCGAGGATGTGGAGAGACTGGGACTCTCATACACTGCTGATGGGACTATAAAATGATACCACTGTAGAAAGCAGTATGGCCATTCCTTAAAAAGTTGGAATAAGAAATGCCATTTGACCCAGCTATTCCATTACTTGGTATATATCCTAAAGAAGTGAGAGCCAGGACAAGAACAGATGTGTACACACCCATGTTCATCGCAGCACTATTTTCAATAGCAAAAAGATGGAAACAATCTAGATGCCCAGCAACTAGGATATCCAACTATGGAACGTACACACAATGGAATGCTATGCAACCCTAAAGAATAACATAGCATCAGCAAAACACCGCATAATGGGGATGAACTTGGAGGACACTATGCTGAGTGAAATAAGTCAATCACAGAAGGACAAATATTGCATTAGTCCATTAATATAAAAAATCAAGGAAAGGTTTAAATATGGAAGGAAATTTTCTTTGTTGGTTACCAAGGGTGGGCGGGGGAGGGAACACTGTTAGACAGATAGAAACAAGCATTGATTTGGGTGAAGAAAAGGGCAATGGACCAAATGTGAGTGATCAACACGTTGGCACTGAGAAAGAGGAAGACATAGAGAGGTGCATGTGAGGTACAGACAAAAAAAGATGAACCCTTTTGCACATATAGTACTGAGTTGTCAGTGAAGGCAAACATTTATAAACGGGTGGATAGATAGATGAACAGGCTAGACTATTAAGTATATCTATACAGGGGGGACTTTGCCCATGACCATGTACAGGATTGGCAGACAATGTTTCCACAAGTGTATTTGTACATTTCTGTAAGAATTCCCAGATATATAGGAAAGCTGACGAGGGACAAGCTTGCAGTCACTTCTTGGCCACAGCCAGCTACTCAGAGTAACCGAATAGCTGGACCTGTGGTTTCAGGACCATAGTCATAGGGGACATCAAGCTCAACTGACATAACATACTACACAAAAACATTGTTCCACATTCTACTTTGGCAAGGAGCAACTGGGATCTTAAAACCTTGCAAGCCACCATCTAGATGCAATGATGGGTCTCTCCCCATCCAGAGCACTAAAATGAAGAAAACCAAAGACACATGGAAACAATTAGTCCAAGGGACTAGTACACAATGTGATCCTCAGCCTGTAAGACTATGAGACCAGAAGAACTAGATGGTGCCTGGCTACCACTTTCAGCCACTCAGATGAGAATCAATGTAGGAGATCCTGGACAGAGTGGGAGAACCATGTGGAACAAAACTCAAAATCATAGGGGGGAAAAAAAAAGGGGGACCAAGTTTACTGGTGTGATAGAGCCTGATGGAACCACTGAGACTATGGCCCCAAGCTGCACTTCAGGTCTGAAACTGAACACACTCTTCTAACTTGCAGCCAAACAAAAGGCATATGAGCTGAATGAACATTTGTATTAGCTAGATACACTCCTTGGAGAGATCAATCATAGGAGAATACAAGGGCTCCATTTGCACAGGGAGACAGCTTGAGGGCAGGAGTGCATGGGACGGAAGGACACAGGGAAGAGGTTAACTATGGGGAGCAAGTGGAAGGGGAGTTGTTGCATTGTGGGAAACTACAGTCAATGTGAGACAAAGTGTATATGAGCTGCTGTGTGGAAAGTGAATTTGCTCTGTAAACTTTCACCCAAATCATAACAAAAATTTAAAAAAAAAAAAAGGAATGCCTTAGAATACAACCATTAGAAAGGGTGAACTTGGTTTAATTTCAGTTTGTATTCACTTCATAGCTTCCTAAAATATATACTGCAGCCATTCCTCAATCTACCTGGCTAAAATCACATACTAATATACTTCTTGTTGTTAGTGACTGTCAAGTGCTAGACAAAATGTTGCCAGGTCCTACACCCTAGCCATGATCATCTGAAAATCAGATCCACTATGATCGAGCAGGTTTTCAGTGACTCATTTACGGAAGTCGATCACTAGGTCTTTCTTCCTAGTGCATCTTAGTCTAAAAGCTCCACTGAAACTTGTTGAGCATCAAAGCAATAAACAAGCCTCCAGTGACAGAGGGGTAGTGTTACATAAGCTGCATTGGCTAGGAATCAATGCAGGACCTCAAGCACAGAAGATGAAAATTTTAGCACTGAGCAATCAATGCCTCATACTAACATACTTAAAAAACAAACCAAACCCACTGTTACTGAGTCGATTCTAACTCATAGCAACCCAAATCAATCCTCACCTCTTTTGAATTTACAACATATCACAAAGTACAGCAATAATAAGGCTTTTAGTAAATTATGTTCAGAAAAAAAAATTAATTTCCTTGAAACAGAAAAGCACACATATACCCTGCCACGTTGATATACCTTGAAAATTCTATAAATACAGTTTTTTATTATATTTAAATAGGAACATAACACCAAGAAAAAAATGTTTCTAGTAATACTTGCTTATGTACACGGTCACAAAGAGGTTTCACACGTGACTTGTATTATTTCTACCTAGTGTTATCTTCAATTTCAATTTCTTCCTCAAACAACAACAAAAAGTGTTATCTATTTACCTACAAAAGGATTTCCTGCCTTTCTTCTATGATTAACCATAATTAATAGCTTTATCTTTAAAATCTGTTGTTCCTGTTATTGTTGTTAGATGCTGTCAAGTCAATTCCAACCTACAACATCCCATTTACAACAGAGGGAGCTCTGGTAGTGTAGTGCCTAAGGCACTTGACTGCTAACCAGAAGGCTGGTGATTCAAACCCACCATCCACTGCTTAGAAGGAAGGTTGGGCAACCTACTTCCGTTGTGATACTGCCTTGGAAACCCAAGGAGGGGTCGCCAAGAGTCAGGTCTGACTCGACAGCACGTGACAACAACAACAACATTTATAAAAGAAAGAAAAACTGCCTGGTACTACGCTATCCTGGTAATGCTTGCAATACTTGAGCCTACAATTGCAGCCACTGTGTCAATACTTGTCAATGAGGGTCTTCCCCTTTTTTACTGACCCTCTACTTTATGAAGCGTGACATCTTTTACCAGGGACTGGTCCCTTCTGACATGACCAAGTAGGTGAGATGAAGTCTGGCAATTCTCGTATCTAAGAAGCATGTTTTCACTTTTGGTTTTCTAACTCCAGGTCTCTGCACATTTCATTATTATAGTTTAGTTTGCTTTCTTGAGCTGCCCTTTGAAATCTTCTGTTTAGCTCTTTTATCTCATCAACCCTTGCAATCGCTTCAGTTACTCCCACTCAACATTCATTTTGGTCTTCCTTTCCTGTGTGTTTTAAAGACTTTTTGATTGGTTCTTGTGGACTTATTTTAAATCTTTAGTATCTTATAATTATGTGCATATACAAAATAAAATCCAAATTTGCATTTTTGTTATATCATAAATTACCAAAATGAAGGCCAGTGATTTCTCTGGGGTTTTATTACCTTGTAACTGCCACACTTTTAAAGGTGCCATTTCATTGGTGCTCTCTACAAGATGTTTTCTGAGTTCTTTCAACTGTTCCTTCAGGTCAGGGTGCAGATCTCTGAAAGACAAAATCAGTCTTTTCATGCGTCTATTCTTTCTCAGAACATAAGTAGAAGTTACTGTCACGATTTTCCCTTCCCAACCCTAGGAAAACACCTACACTATAAGAATTAAAGTGTAATTACTTTTCCTTAAAAATATGTTAATATAGCAAAACCAAAGGGGGGAAAAAAAAAAACCTCACTGCCATCAAGTCAATTCCAACTCACAGCAACCACTGTGTTTCCAAGGCTGTAAATCTTTAGAGAAGCAGACTGCCTCATTTTTCTTCAGAGCGGCTGGTAGCTTCCAACCACCAACCTTTTGGTTAGCAGCCAAATGCCTTCACCACTACACCAACAGAGCTCCTTAATACAGCAAAGTATAAGTTAATTTTAAAAAATAAAATTTACAGATTAAGAGCTGAATTAGTTTAATAGTTATTCTCTATTATGGAAGATGGGAAAAAAAGTGGGGAACAAAGGAGACTACGACTTTATCTGTAGAATTTTACTGTTTTATTTATTTATTATTTTTTTAAAAAATTAAAAGAAGGCTTCATGCAACTATGATAGCAACTATCCATTTTGGGTGGTGAATGCATCAGTGCATGTTACATTATTCTGTATAATTGTTAAATTTCCCAAAACAAACTGGAAGGAGGGGCAAAAGGGAAAGCACCATCAAGAGACTAGACACTTGTTATTTCTGATCATGGGAAAGGTAACATCAAATATGAATGAAGTACACACAGCTTGACTAAGGTAAACAATGTCATAAGAAGTTCACAAAAGGAGCCTTTGATAAAGGATACAACAAATACAATTTTGCACCAATACCAACAGCAACCAAAAAATATGTATGTGGTGACACAAATATGTATATAGGCATATGTGTCTGCACAGATTAAAGTATCTACAGAAATATGGTCATACAGCTATGTGGCTATATATTCATGTATATCCACATATATAAAAAACCACACAGGGGACACAGATATGAGTATTACTTAGACATAACCATACAACTTTCAAGATTGATTCTCAAGGTTTGAAGACTTAGAACCATGGTTTCATAGGACAACTCGGGTAACTAGCATGATATAGTTCATAAAATATAGGTTTTACATCTCAACAGTGATGAGCAGTGTCTAGGGTCTAAAAAGCTTACGAACAGCTATCTAAGATATAACTACTTGTCTCTACTGACCCAGATCAAAAGAGAAATAAGGAAACCAAAGACTCAAAGAAGAAACTAGTCTACAAGACTAATAGTCAACACAAACCACACCTGTTCACTTACCCTAAGACCAAAGAACTAAATGGTGCCAGTTATCACTACCAACCATTCTGATTAGGGCCACAATAGAGGAAACCCTACAGAATGAGAGAGAAATGTGGAAAAGAATCAAAATCCCTAAAAACTCCAGACTTACTAGACCAAGTAAGAACAGAAGACACCCTGTAATTATTGTCCTAAGATACACTTCACACCTTAAACTGAAATTATCCATTGAGGCCACCTTTTAGCTAAGTAACAGACTGGCATGTGAAACAAAGATTACCTATGACTAATAAGCTTCTTTAAGAAAGATCATCTCTAGGAGAGCAAATGGTCAAAAATTAATCTAAAATGAAGATGAGAAAAGATGAGGGTAGGGAAAACTAGAATACTGAAAAGGATACAACCATAATGGAATGAATGAGAATGATAACACATTGTTAAAAATGCATTATCTTCTATGAACAGATCTGTATGGAAAAAAAAACCGATAACAGCACCTCGAAAGTTTAGACAGGAACCTAAGGGGGCAGTGAATTTATATTAATGGAAGAGGAACACCTCAGAAAAGGAGGGTGACAACAGTTGTACTATTAAGAGAATGTAATCAATGTCACTAAAAGTAGAAATTGTTGAATTGCTGTGTAAACTTTTCTTGCTGGGTACATTTTCAACAACAAAATAAAATTTTTTAAACATATAACCAACATCACTAAATACTTTGCATAGATATTGTGAAATGAGAATCAAATTTGCTGTGTAAACTTTCATCCTGTAAACAATAAAATATTAATAAATAAATAAAATTGGGAAATACACGTTGCCAAGTCAAAAATGAATTTTTTTCAGTCTGCATGCTCATAAAACCTTTAGACACATAAATACAATTCAAGTAAACCAAGGTTAATGGATTTGTTTTGTTTAGTTTTATCTCGAAATACAGTACACCCTTTGAAGTTGATAAAACAGAGGTTATCAGAGAGGCAGAGATGTAACATTTAGACTAAGACAGATAGATTACTAGGTAAATCCTGTTCTTCTAAATGCCAGAAACTAATAATCCTATTAATAATTTAACCCCAGGGTTAAGGGTGAGGAGAGACAACGCAGGGACGCCAGAGTAGCAGGCCGGAAGAGCAGGAGAAAAGGGATAAAAGCCTTGAACCCGGAAAGAAGAACAGTCAGCCCCAGGGTTACAGGTGAGGAGAGACAACTCAGGGACGCCCAGAGTAGCAGGCCAGAAGAGCAGGAGAAAGGGGATAAAAGCCTTGAACCCAGACAGAAGAGCAGTCAG